GCGCAGGCACCGGCGCCCGCCCACCGCGCCTCGGAGCAGTTTTCTGCGCTCCCTGCGGTGCGAGGAGAGTGGCCGGGACCAGCGCCTGGAGCCTCCCGCCAGGAACCTGACTCCTGGGAGAATTCATTGTAGGTTTGACCGCTCTCGCCAGTAGATAGGAAGCGCTGGATTTCCTCTGAATGTCGGACGTGTGATGCTTGGATTGAGATTTCCCTTCTCTCCCTAGGGGTGGGCAATAAAGGCCTTAAAAGGTCGCCTGGTATTTCTTTTTAAAAAATCCCTTTGTTTGCTCGGACTTACCGCAAACGTGGACAACCCCCCACCGTAGGTATATTTTCCCTCTCGTTCCCCAGCACCCTGTTCGTTCTCACCACTTCTGTTTTCCCCTGGCCGAAGCGCACTGATTTGAAGTTACTCTGTGTTTGAGGTCTGCCCTGGCGGTGCCATCTAATTTCCCTGTGTCTGAGAGCCAGGGTTAGGGTGGGCGATGGAGGAGCAGCTACACACATTAGTCTTCAGTTGTGATGTTTGCGTGAATGGGCTTGTTTTTTTTTGTTTTTGTGTTTTTTGTTGTTGCTGTGTGTGTGTGTGTGTGTGTGTGTGTGTGTTTGTCAGACCCAGATAAATTTCATCTGCCTTTGCACATAGGGACCACTAAATGGCCACGGTGCCACTGGGTGAAGAATTCTCATTTTAAGGATCGGTGGTGTTAACCAATATTTATTACTTATTGGCCTCTTATGTATGCCAGGCCCAGAGCTTAACATTTCCTCCCTCCTCTCTCTATTCATCATCCATCCATCTTTTCAACAGCTACTGCCTGCAATGGGCCAGGCGCCCTGCAGCAAAGGAAAACAAATGAGATTCAGCCTGGTCTCCGTGGAAGAAGGAAGGCGTGAAACTTCTTGGGAAAACAAGACCCGCACACAGTGAGTGCCTGGGGCGGTAGATGGCGTGTCTCTCAGCTCTGCCTGTTCCTAAGAAGAACTGAGATCCGGGCAGGGAGAGGTCAGGCAATGTGTCCCTGAGGAGACGGGATTGGCTCTGCCTCTTGGACAGGGGAAGGATGTAGAAGGGTAAGGTGAAGACTGGTTTTTGCCAAGGGAGGGAGCAGGATGGTGTTTGCAGAGACTACAAGCTGTGGATAAATGTGGTGTGTGTAGGTGTTGAGTGTGGCTTACCCGGGATGGTGAGTTACTGTTGGGGTTGGGGTTGAGGAGGCTGTATAGTCAGGCTCGAGACAAATTATGGAAGGCTCGGAATGATAGCCTAAAGAGTTTTGTTTGACAACTGGGAGCCACTACAGGGGCTTTCTGCAGCATAAGGGTAAGTAGAAAGTATGACTTACTCTGGCCTTGATGTCCAGGCTGTATTGCACTATGGAAGCTGGTTAGGAAAGTAGTGCCACACTATCGATAGTGTGAAGAAACAAAGGCCCATGAAGTAGAGAAGAGTGGACAGCTAGAAGCCTAGGGGGAGAGCATCTCATCAGGGGATATGTTGTATGTTTGGATTTGGGGAGAATCAGAGAGGGATATAGAGGTGCGAGGCACAAGTAATGTGATCCTGGGACATTTTCTCCTTCTCCTACTTCTTTCCGATTTTCCTTCCATTTTTGGTGTTTATTCCTCTGTTGTGAATGCGAAGGAAGATGTGGTTGGCGGCCTCTAAGATGACCCCAGGGACCCTGGTATTCATACCCTTGTGGGATCCCCTTCCCTTCATTGTGGGCTGAACCTAATGACTTGCCTCTAACAAATAGAATAGGGCAAAAGTGATGGGATGTCATTTCTGAGGTTAGGTTACAAAAAGACAATGGCTTCTTGCTTTCATTCACTTGCTCTAAGAAAGCCCACTGTCATATGGTGGCAAGAAACCAAGGGAGGCCTTTAGGCTGTGAGGTGTTGAACCCTTTACAGCCACGTGAGTGTGAAGTTTGTCTTCCCCCAGTTGAGCCTTGAGATTAGTGCTGGCCCACATCTGTGAGAGACCTTGAGTTGGAGGCACCCAGCTATGTCTTGCCTGTATTCCTGAGCCACATAAATGGAGATAATTAGTGTTTGTCATTCTAAGTGGTTAAGTTTTGGAGTAACTTGTTACGTAGTAACATATAACTACTCCAGAATGACTTGAGTATAAAGTGAGTGGATAACAAAAAATAAGTTTAACAAAGGAAAAGTCTGAGCAGTGTTCCCTTGCTCCTCTTTCAGCCTCCTGTGAATTGTGTATCATCTTTCCCCCCAATTTTTTTTTTTTTTGGCTAGCTTTGTGGAACTGGTTTACACCAGTATCTCCTATACTCTGAGTTTTGCAATTTATCTTTATCCCTTGGATGTTCATGGTTTTGCTCTTTAAATTCAATTGCTACTTTGTAGGAAGACTTCTCCAATGACAAGGTCATAATGTAACTTTGGAAACAAGTCTGCTGACAGTGATGCTGTCACACCCCCGGTGGTTGTTAACAACCCCGCCCTCCTCGAGGCGTGTGGAATGCATAATGATGAAGGGACTCAAGCCCAGTGGCTGGGAGTCAGTGACTTGATCTTCCAGAAAATTCTGTCTCCTCTCCTGGGAGCCACTTGAAACCACTCAAAAAATCAAAGTGGCTTTTCCTTAGATAAAGTCAGGGCAGCTCAGTTGCAGAGAAACGAAGCAATGGTTCAATATTTTAACATTAGTTTACCCTCCCAGCTAAGTCTATTTCTGCACAGCACCCTGAAGATGGTATGACATCCTAAATATTATTCTCTTCTAGCTGAGAGGATTTTACTTTGCAACATAGTGCTGGACTCTAAACGTGATGTAGCATCTCTACAAAAGAAGACCGGATACATTGCCCGTGTAACTGATAATCAGAACAAGTGTACATTATTGCAGTTAGAGTTATGGAGTATAATTGTAGAGTTTCTGTTCTAAGCCTTCCACAGGTTCCACTGACTACAGAGATAATAATACCAACTTTGTGAAACTGCAACCTACCTATCACTTTGTAAATCCGATAAAATGGCTGTCAATTACATTCCGCTGCTAGGAACCAGAGAAGAAAGAAAGCATTGCTCATCAAACTACTAGACTTTCACACTTGACTTTCGATGAAAATTGAGGCCAGTTGGGTGTAGTGTTCAGGTCAACATGGTGCACCCATGTTATTATTTACACGTCTATACGCATATGTCAACTGTGTATTGCAAATTTATCACAGACTTGAATTCCTTTTGATAGTAAGTAGTTATAAATACTGTTAGTGACAACAAGAGTCTTATACATTCTTAATAGGAATAAATTGACCTGCAAAGCAGCAATTTAAAGCATGTTAACATAATGTGTCTGTGATAAAACTATCTAGCAACACCTTCTACCCCTCATGATTAATGTTTAGCAAGATAAAAGGGATGTAAATATTTTTGTTGTTTTATCCTCTTAGGAAAATGACAGTGGTTGATTTAATTAAAAAAGAGGCTCTCCCATAGACCAAATTGAGAAATCAGCTCAGTGAAGGTGACAATGGGAAATGCCTATTTAATTTGAATAACACCCGGTTCTGTAGAAATGTGCATCAAATACGTAGCCTGCGTAATCTGATTCATGTACTGTTTCACCACATTATTGAAAAGAAGAGGGAATATTAGCTCTCTCATTTTAGGATATTCAACTCCTGCTGGGGTCGAGGTGCTGTGTGCACAACCCACTTACTACCTAGACTGTTGTTGGGAGTTACCTGGAGGCGACGAGGAGAAAATGACATGTTCCATTAAAATGAGGCATCCTTGGAATTGTTTGATGTTCTTTGCTTTAATTGAATCCATCTATCCCATCTGCCACTCTTCTCTCTAAATTTATTTCCCTAACCCACTCTCTCTGAGAATTGTAATTTGGGGGAAATTTGTTACATACGTTGTTCCTTTTATATAAGCTCTTTGCATCTGGAGGGCAGGTGTGCTGTCTCTCTGGCCTTGTTAGACAAGGTTGCCTGCCTCTTCCCTGCCCCCGCACATGTTGCTGGATCAAACAGGGCTGGGATAAAAGACCCCCAGTAGCAACCGGAGTAGAAAAGAACACAGGAATTCCAGGTTTTTCAATATGGGGCCCTCACCATGTGCCAGGGCTGAATAAACATGGATTCAATAAATATAACTATAAAAACGTGAAACTTGCATTCCGACTGCAGCCAAAAAAAAACCACGCAAATGTATTATTATGTTGAGGTAAAGTTGCCTTGAAACCTCTAACTTTGATCACTTGAGGCCTCTGTTCCCCAGGGTGGCAGAGCAGCCGCATTTAACCAGTGCTCTTTCTCAGGGGTTAGGCAGGAGGAAAGGTGGCTGCTCGTCAGTGTTCTTTAGGAATCACTTTGGGCCCTTAACGTAAACATAAATAAAACTTCACATTAATATACACGTATTAATTGGAGTGAGGTCCACATACCGCTCTAAACGAACCATATTAATATGGTTGAGGACACAGCGTAGGGTGGGGGTCCGAGCACAGGCTTGAGACTGACAGGCGTAAGGTAGAATTGCTCTTCAGGCATTTGTTTGAGAACCTTTCTTAATCCATCTGAACCTCAGTTTTCACTTCTGTTAAATGGGTACTAAGGCTCTTCTCTTAGATGCTTGTGCAGATTAAGTGAGATTCTGGGTATTGAGCCCCCCAGCATAGGGCCTGGCACACAGGGGACAGTTGGAACTGTCCGCTGTGATTATTACGTTGGTTGCGATGCCTTGTGTAGACAACAGCAGCCAGTCTAAAGCAGGCCGATCCTCAGACACCTAGCAGGGCTCCTGTGGTTGCTGCTGACCACCGTCCTTCTCATTGGAGAGAGGAAACAAAAGCTCTTCTCTGTCCTTTGTACTGGCTGCTGCCCTGCATCGATTGGTGGAGACCGCTGACACTTCTGCCTGAAACTTCCTCTGGACCAGGGCTGGCAGGGCAAGGCGAATCCCCCTTTGTTCAGGGAAGACCTTTTTGTTATGTAAAGGAACTGCAAAACCCAAAGTCTGTGTGGACACAAAACTGCCTGTGCATGACAGTATACTAGTAAACAGTTGTCCTCATAGGAAGCAGAGGGAGTCCCTGCAAATTATTTTTTCTTTTGTAAAAGAAACTTAATATTGAATTCTAAAAATCTCATATGAATGTGTCACTCCCCGCCCCCAGATCACTCCCAGACCCCAGGTCTGACGGCATTTTTTAAAATACTATTTCCTACACATTGTCTTATTGTATGTATTTATCATTACAGGTGTAGATGATATTGCTGTGTCTTTTTTTAATGCATAGTATCGTATGGAGATATACATATATGTGATATATGTACACATGCACATATACACATATATACATTTTTTTCTTTTTATCAGTGGTTGAGAAAGAAGCTTTGTGTGAGCATAAATAAGATTGACAGGTGCGGCAGACCGTTTTGTGGATATTTTCCTGCAGCTTTCTATTTTCACTTGCTATTACATGTCATTACATATGGAAACACCTCATTCTTTTAAACTGCTACATAGTTCTTCATAAGATGTTCCAGAGTATATTTCTCTATATCTTATTGAAGGACATATAGGTGCCTAGTTTTCTTTTCTTTCTTGCCGGGAGCCAGTCCATCCTTGCTGTTTCAAGGGACCTGGCATATATGGCATACTGTTCTTAATATGTTTGCTCACCTTCTTGGCACTGTGTTTTAACCAAGGTCACCTCTCTGAGAAAGGTTGTTTCCCCAGGTAGAGAGTTTCCCCTGAAGTTAGGGAGGGAATAAAACCTCTTAACTGCCAGGCGGGAAATTAATCACTTTAACTACGAACAATCATGCTTAAGCTACATAATCTTTACTCCCTGGAATGGAGATAAGAA